CCCCTAGTCATATTAAAGAATCTAGATACAAATACTAACTTCCTTGCTTACATATGAAATCTCTTCTCCGGCAATAGCCCCAATAAAAGCGTTGCAAAGTCCTCCTTTTACAATTGCCTCCCAAAACCCAGAAGCACCAACTTTTATTGATATTAAAGGAAGAAAATAATGTGAAATGCTGTCAGTGCATGCCATGTCATGCATGCCCAGTCACCTACTGTTGAGTAGGCCAATATTCATTCTGCCATTTCAGTGGGCACAACCACAAAAAAAAGTCTTGAAGGTAATTTACTAATGTTTTGCTGTATAATTTAATTGACATTTGTGACATTGTTGCAATTAAATTTTACTAAATTGGTTCACACTGTTCATTGAAAATTGGTTGCCTACCTAAGCATAATTATACTTTCCAGGCCGGTAGAGAGAACAAAGGAAAATGATCTGAAATTAGCTGAAATTAATACTTGCATACAATTGCTGTTTACTACTGCAAGAGTACTAGCTAACAAAGCGGTATGGCATTTCTGAAACTTAAAATCTCTAAAGATTCTGCATGTTTGAGACTATCAGTCTCAAGCTTTATGTAATAAATAATGAGAAGTCATCTACTTATTTACTCCCTCTGGATTACTCTGTTATCAGATTTGGGTATAGAGGTACACATAAATCCCTGACTGCCCCCTTTCTTCTGTTTGTGCCTAAAGGTGCAAAAACTCATTAAAGTCATTTCCTTTTACCTTTAGAGGTGAGTATTGTTCCTTTGAGTAACAATTTTTAAAGGAAATACAGTTTTATAGATCTGAAAGGTATGCAGAACCACACACAAAAATCAGAAACAGTGTAGTATTTACTAAAATTTTCAAATGCAGGTGTATTTTGAAAACCATACTTAATTTTCCATGTTACTTGTCTCAAGCATGACTTTGAGGATGCTTCTGATTATATCAAAGATATGTTCCAATATTTTTTTTTCTACTTTGGCCTTGTTTGGAAGTTACTTTTATTCTTAAAAACTCGTATTTTCAGTTCACAGTTCTAGAAGTAACTTTGGGATACTTAAAGAAACCTCACTGACTTTGATGCCAAAGCACATAATTATTATCTAGCTATACATAAAGTAGAAAAGCCTACAGGAAAAAAGCACATAGTTGTCCGAACTAATATCTGAAGTACTAAAGCAAATGACAGCCTTAGTAATCTGCCTTTTGGAGAAAAGGTTCTTATTTTTAAATATGGTGCAGTCTAAAGCAATATTCTTCCTCTCCCTCCAATAGCTACCACCCCAGACGTAAAAAGCTGGTGTCCTGAAGGTTTACCCAGACAATGTAAAAAAATCTCTAGCTTGAGCTGTGTACACAGGCTGAAATGGCTAACATTTACATAGCGAACCACTTCCTTTGCCACTGCTAGCATTTCAGATCTGAGGAGTCTGTGCTTCCCCATGAACAAACACCTGAGATAGCAACAAGCTTCAAAATGGATTTCACATGCTCTGTTTGACTATAAACGCAACCAAAATCCAAGTGAAAAGAAATATTTGGGCTCCTATATAATTTTGAAAGCTATAGTGTTAGAATATAAAGTGTCTGACCTAAAAAATTAGTTTCAGTGAGCGCATTTTAGCTTGGCTTCTCAGAATCACCTAGGAAGCTAGGAAAAAGCCATAAATTCTCTTAAGATATGGGATTTCAATGGCTTGCATATTTTTCAAAGCAAGCTCCACAGTTCACTTTCAAAGTCCGGGCCAAATTAGTAAATCCTTCCTGTTGTTTTCATGAAGGAGTAGGACAGTACTCAGCAATTTATTTTCTTTGCCATCAGCTAGTGACGTTATTTAAAATCTCCTGATTTTCCAAGTCTCACCTTGCAAACAGTGCACTTCTTCTAGACTGAACCCTTGTTTAACCAAGATTTGCTCCTTACTTACACACGTCTTTCTCACTCAGATCAACACTTTCACACTCAGAATTCTCTTAGAAGGAAACAGAGAGGCTCTTTATCTGGATCCTGGGCTGACGAGGATCTTAAACAATGTACAAATTTACTACATGGATAATAGAAACTTTTTCCTAAACTTGTCTTTAGCAGAAGCTGTTGCAAAGAAAACCATGGATTTTAAATCAAAAGATTACTGTAGGAAAATTATCTGCAGGGCTCTGTGGGATACATATGAACTTCAAATAAACTTAGCCCAAATAAAAACTGCTTCTCATAAGCTTGTGCTAAAGTATTGAAGCAAGCAGAATGCGTTGATTTATTCGACACAGCTCCTGAATTTAAAAGACTTTGCATCTCTATTTTAACAAAATAAAGAGTTAACAGATAATACAGAGGGGTACCTCTTTCATACACTCTATAAATCTCTGTGTGGAACTTTATTGGAATTTCAACAGAAATTTTTTATTTCATCAGAATATCCTTTGGATGGAATTCATGTAAGATATTGCATAATAAGAAACCAGAAGTTCAAAAGTTAGAAGTTCTCTAACTTTTGAAAAAATTGAAATTGGTAGATATGGAAAATATTTTAAGCAGGTTTTGAGAAAAGTCACAAACAGCATGTCTCAAATTTAGATTTTTGTCCCTGGTATGATTACATTGCTTGAAGCCCATACTTGAAGATGTGTAAATGTACTATGATTTACTCAACTTCACACTGCATTCATGCAAACATTCATGCAAACCCCTGTTAATGTCAGCTAGAATAGTGAACTGCATTGGTGCAATGGCTCCTACAGCAAAGCCTTCAAGTATAGTAAATAAAGCAAGAGTTCAAGAAGGTTTTGAGTGCAGATACTGTGTAAATTGATTATTTTCTGTGTTTTCTGTAGAAATACATGGAGTTGCACAGAAGGACCTATATAAAATCAAATACCAAAAAGGCTGAAAAGGAGAAAATGACCTTCCTTTTTCACCTCTTCAAAGACCAAGTAAAGGTTTGTTTGTCTTTTGTCTCTTGGATAAATGATTATGCCCTTCGTGTGTATCCACACATCAACAGGTTTAAGAAAACAAAACACATCCAAAGCTGATAACTTTCTTCTGTTCAACATCTGCTGAAAGAATAAACTATGGCCAGAATTCTTGAACAAGGACCAAAAAAATTTATTTAAAAAACTCCTTAGTTCTTAGAAGTTAAGCATGTATTTTCTCTGTTATTCAACTTTTTCTTTAAGTATCAAAAGCATCAAGCTGATAAATATTTACTGTTCCACTGCCAGCAACACCAAAGACACCGGTGAAATTATTGATGTGAAGAAATGCTAATCTCTTCCTAAGAAAGTGGGCACCAGTTCATCCTGAACACATCAAACTGCTGAAAGAACTGCTTTTGCTTCCACTGTATTTACTACAGTTACCATTTTAAAGGTGCAGCTTATTTCCTCACTCCACCCCAAATTTTGTGTTCTTTCCTCATTATTTTGTAGAAAATTTCAGTTCACAGCCCTTTTTCATAATTTCCTTTTGTTATATACATCCAGGCATCTGAGCAAGACACACTAAAGAACATTGCACCAACACTTGTTATTAAACTGCCTATTTTTGTTTACTTATATAATTCCTTTTTTTTCAGCTACATGCTTTCATGCTTTGCTAAAATACTTATTTACATGCTACATGTTGAATAAAATTCTCCAGGTCAGCTAGGGAATCGTGAAGAGAATCATTCGGATCTTGACTTCTGAGAAACTTTCGAAGCGTATCTAACGCACTCAAAGCCTCATTTTTTGATGGTAAAGGTTGTTCAGACCCCTGAAATTGGTCACTTTCATTTGTATCTTCATCAGCAACAAATGTCCCAGCTTTATCTGATGTGCTTTCTTTGGCACACATCCTTTCATTAGTTGTGGGCACTTCACAAGTTACCAAGCCATCATCTAGAGCTGCATATTCCTCCAAAGATAAACCTTTTGGAAACTCCACTCCAGCTGCCTGTGCATGTGCGATCAGATCAAAATCACTTTCAACCTCTGCATCGCAACCATTTGCCTTGGTTTCAGATTTGAATGCTGCTTCATTATAACTTTTAACAAAAGTCTCTGGTGTTACTTTCCTCCAGCAAAGGTGCAACATCTCAACTGCATCAAGAAGAGTCAGCATAAATTCTTTATTGCCTTCTACACAGTCAATAAATTTCTTGATAAGACAGTGCCTGTATTTAACCTTCAGACTTCTGATAACCCCTTGTTTCATAGCTATACATGAAGAAGAGCCTGGAGGAGAAAACACTAATTTGACAGACTTGAGGTTCTCTACTTCTGTGTGAGCTGGGAGAGAATCAACAAGAATAACTACTTGTCGCTGCTGCGCTTGAAACCCGTCATCAAGTTTATGCATCCACTGTTCAAACACTTCTGAAGTCATCCACGCCATATCATTTGCTTCATAATCCACAGATAGCGACCTCACATCTTTGAAAGAGCATGGACTTTTGTTTTTTCCTATAACAAGCAAAGGAAGTTTCTCAGAGCCATCCATATTTGTACCCACTGCTATAGTTATTCTCTCGTCGCTTAGTTTACCTACAGAACAAGTTTCTCCTTTAAATGCAAATGTGCTATGGGGTAACATCTGATACAGCAATCCAGTCTCCTGTATAAAAAACACATTTTTTGGCTGATAATCATTTAAATAATAAGGAAGAACATTTTGGTACCAAGGAGTTGGAGCATCCACTGTAGCAGTAGCAGCTGCTTCTACAGGCTGAGCTCTGAAAACTAAGCCATACCTTGACTTGAAACGATCAAGCCAGCCATTGCTGCATTTAAAATCACTATGTCCAAGCTTCTGGGCAAAATCATTGGCCTTGAGGCGCAGCATGGGACCGTTTACTGGCACATTCAAGCACTGAGCCATTCTGTACCACTTCACCAATGCCTCCTCCAGGTCGGTATAAAAAGCAGTCCTTAGCCTTTTTCTTTTAGGATCAAATCGTAAAGATTCAAAGGCTTCCAAAACTTTCTCTTTATTCTTCATAATTGAAGACAACGAATTCTTCTTTATGCCATACTTGGCTGCAATGTCTGCCTTTTTCTTGCCGCTCTCCACAGCACTTATGATGTCGATTTTTTCCTCGATGGATATGCTTTTTTTCCTCCTCACTACGGGCTGGGGCAGAGGACTCCCTGAAGCCTCTGCCATGGTACGGAGCATCTGCACCTGGGCTGGCACGCTCCCGCTCTGCCTCTTTCTTTGCTGCGGGCGCCTTCTAGGAGGCCAGTTTTCAAGACTGCGCTCTGATCTCAGGGGCATGGCACTTGGCAGAAGCAGGAGGAGCCTGATCCTGGTTATAAACTGCCACACACACACGCCAGCGCCGCCAAGCTTAATTCTGCGAATGCCCTCGGACGAGGGCATTCGCAGAATTAAGCTTAGCGGCGCTGGCCATCGGTATTGCAGGCCCAGCACCGCGCCTCAGGCCTGAGCAGGCCCCGGCTCTGGTTGCCATGGCTACGGCGCTGCCGGGTCAGCCACCATAGAGAGGCGCGCCCCGCAGCCTAGAGAGGCCGCTGCCCGCCACCGCCCTCAAACCGCCTTTCCGGCCAAGCGTTTCCGGCTCCTGCTGGTACCGGAGGAGGAAGAAAATAAAGCTGGAGAGGGAGCACTGGGGCCGCCCCGCCCGGCTTCCTCCTTCCCCCCCTTCCCTCCGGCCCGGCTTCCCTCCCCCCTCAGCACGACGCCTCCGGGTCGGCAGCAGGTGAGGGACGGGGCCTTTAGGCCCTGGGTTCGGGTCGGGCCCGGCCGCGGGGCGGGGAGGGCCGGGCCGCAGCTCGCCTCCCCTTCCCTTCACTGCCGTCCTACCTGTGGCACCGCGGGAGCGGCCTCCGCTTTCCCGGCCTCCCCGGCAGCGCCTGGGTGCGGGCAGCGGGCGGCTGGGTCTGTGGGCACCATGAGGGGAGCTCGCAGCCCCTGGCGGGGCCCAGCCGGGGGCTGCCAGCGCCCGTTTTGTCCTGTCCGCCACCCCGGGTGGCCTTGCCGTAAGGGTCGGGAGTGTGGTGCTGGTTAGGGTATGCCCATCTCTCTGCTTGTCTGTGGGGTCCCAGCTCCGGGGGGTGGTGGGCACCCGGAGAGGGTGGGCAGAGCCAGGGCTTGGTAGAAGGTGTGTTTTCACGAGAGAGAAGAGGAACCTGACTGTTGGTATAGGAAGAAAACTCTTAAGTGCTGCATAAATTTCATGCCCCTGGGACTTATTCCACACCCTGACAATTACTATTTTAAGAGTTCCAATTTGTCTTCTGCAGCTCGCTCTCTATTCTTAAAACATGGAAACACTGTGGTGGTGTGTGACAAGCAGGTGTTGCATCTAATATTGTTGACAAATTATATGCAGTTCTTCTAGTGTTGCTTATAGTACATCTTTGGTCTGTTGTTTTTAACTGAAACCCCCTCATGGCCTTTAGTCTTGCACCCCCTGAGCTGCATGTAATTTCAGTCTCTAATGTGTGCTTTTTATGCTTGGTGGAACTGGTTACAAGAAGTTAGCGCTTGCAGTTGGTGGCTTTCTTATCCAAGTGTTGATAATCTAGAGAAGATAACGGAAAGGTTCTTTTGCAGAGCTGGAGAAGGATGTAATTTGATCAGTGCAACTCCAGAGCCAGATGGTTGTCTGAATGTATATATTTATGTACACACACAGAGTTAAAATTGTAAGGAATAAGCAACACAGAAAAACCTTAGATTGGAAAAACTGGAAGCTGAGGGAATGTCTTGATCAGCTGCTTTTTTCCGTTTTAGTGGAAGTTGAAACCCATGGGAGCCCATGCCTTAGCTAATCTGGAGACGAGCAGTGTGTTGAAGTGCTTAGGGGCAGGATGACTGAGAGTAGGGAGGACGGTAGTGGCAGCCCTGTTCTCTGGTCATTATTGGTATCGTGTCTTGTAAGTTTCAGTCATAATGAGGTCTTGATGGTTGTTTTAATTAAAAATTGAACCAAGAAAATACGTGTTAAGTCATTATTTTCCACCAGCACTCCATTTTCTGCAGTGTTACAAAAAGTTGTATTGCTTATCTATGCAGTGGAGTAATAAGACAACAAAAAAAGTCTGTAGTAAACTTTATTTGGACAGAAGGTATCTTTCTTTTACCTTACTGATGATTAATTTAAGAGAAAAACTTGAGCAGGAGCCAGTGCATCCTGCTTGGAAAAGCAGGTGTAATTGTTGAGAATCCCATGGTTCTTGTTTCTGATACCTTGAGTCATTTACTTAAGTAATGTAACTATGTTAAGAATAAACCCCTTATTCAAAAGAAATTTATTGTTGATGTTTAATTCATATTTGCATGAATAAGCAAATGTGAATTTTTTAATGAAAAGTCTGTAAGTGTGTTCTTATAACCACTAATTATATCTGATTAAACATCTCTGAAGCCTTTATCCTGTAGGAAGCTTAGTAAGTTGATTATAAGTTTTTGCTTTGCTTTTTATTTTGCCAGTTGAAGAAGTGATACATAAATCCTCAGGACTTAAAAACTAGGTGGTTTTATTTATGAGTGGAACTTAAAATGACTGAATTTGTAATCTGATACATGTTTAAGGTGGCTTTGCCATGGGGGCAGGATTCTCAGTCCGTTCTTTCTCCTCTGGTCTACTCTGCTACAGTATTCGTGTGGATTTGCAGAATTGGTCTAGTGGGGAAAAAATGAAAATCTATAGGCGCAGGAGTGATGAGGTCAGGGTTTTAGGCTTAAATTCATGTCAGAATATGGATGAGGTGTGTTTTTTCCAAGTAGAACATACCAGAGTTGTAATGGCAGCTGATGGTAATGAATGTCCTAGTACACTGAAGAGTCACCTGACGTGTTCTGAAGTTATGCCTGCTTTAGTGAAAAAATAATTGATAATGCGGAATTCATATGGTACCGAACACTAGTAAGCTCTTATAAAGAATGGCTCTTTCTGTGATATCAGAAAGAGAAAATCAGGAATTACTGAGATATAAAAGTCTATGTGCAGTTTTGCAATGGAACCTTAAATATAAGTAATACATGTATGTAGATGCCATGTTTGCAACAGTTTCACATGAATATCTTAACTTCTGGATCTTTGTAAACATGTAGAAAGCTTTTGTCCTTGCATCTAGCATTTGGTGTTTACATCTCCATTTTTTTTTCTATAGAAGTAGTCATCAGGCAATTCTATAGTTAAACTAGAACATACAGTTAAACTTTTTACAAAAAGCCACCTTTAATCTACAGTTTTCCCCTTCTCATGTTTTAAAGTTGGTCAGTGTGATTCTGCAGAGCTGTGTTGAAAGTGTTGATACTGTTTGCAGGAAAAGAATACTATACAAAAAAATGGGAGAGAGAGGGTTATAATGCAAATGGAGAATTAATTTAGATTTTAAAAAAATTAAGATGCAGTGTCTTCTACATGGGTTTCTGAGGTGCTTCACGCCTCTAGATTAGGTTATTAAGATTTTGTAAGGCTATCAAGAAAATATTTTTGCTGCTTATAGCATTTAATAGTTTTAAACAATGTTATCATAGTAAGTTTGTATGTCAGGTACAAGCATTAACTCCAGGATAAGCAATGTTGTAAAACTGAGGTACAGATTGTCATAATCAAGTGTGTACTACAAGATGAATTTTGCTTCTTGCTTAACGAGCAGATCAAAGAAATCACACTCGCTCTTCTAGTCCATAATGGAAACTTTTTATCTACCCAGAAATAAGCTGTTAAGAATGGAGGTTGTTTTCAACCACAAGCAGAGTTTGGACAGGACTGTGTGGGAAAGCAGCACCTCTGCTGTATGGTCTTTCCTGTTCGAAAGAATTGTAGAAAATTAAGAAAATATATTAAAAAGTTATACTTAATTACTTTGAAAGGAGTTTTGTATTGGTTGGAGAAAAATCTAGCTTCATTCAGTGATAGCCCTGAGTAAATTGTTTTTCTGGAGAAAATCTCTTATTTTACGTGTTTGGTTTTCCAAAAGCAGGTAATAGGCTATCCAGTGTAATATGATCTAGATGGCTCAGTTTCTCAGCCTTTGTGTCCTTATTTTATTTCCCTTGTCATGTGAGCTGCTTACCTTATTAATTATTTGCTTTAATTAAAATGTTTTATAGCTTGGGAAATTGGAATACAATATAAATAGTGATCTCTATAATTTTTCTTAATCTGGTATATGACTGAACATGTATGAAGTGTTGCAAGACTTCATGAACTGAAGTCATGTGGGATTATACTCAATACAGACAGACTTTGTTTAATTCTTAATGATTGGTTGTCATCTCCTCTCAAACAGCTCAGTGAATTTCAGTGTCACCTGTAGTTACCAGCTATTTGAAATTAGTTTTAGATACTTTCTTAGTCAAGCTATATTAGGTATGTAACTTCTCTTTCATGATCACTCTACTCACAGAGTTGATTTCTTGCACACGTCCTCAGTGTTACCAGCTTTCTTTGCCTCTGTAGATGAGATTTTTTTTTTAATAATAAAATGAAGGGGATTCTGTTTTTAGTTAAGCATAACAGACTGAGCAGCTTACTAGGTTCTGGTGGCTCAGCATCAATGTAAACTTGCAACATTTGGATAAATCTCATGTCTTGATAGAGTTGTGATCTTTGCAATGGTTGGATACAGTCAGTGTGTTGTTGCAGGTGACAGTAAATACCAGCTGAAGAACTTTGTTTGACTTCCTGGTTTTTCTGTTGCAATTTCAGCCCTCTGTGCAGGGAAGGCTGCTTTGACTATGGAAATTTATTCTAAACTATATTCCTAGTCTTGGTTAGAATTTGGAGTGCTAAAGAGCTGGTAGTCATCAAAAGAAGGAGGTTTCTCTTTGCTTTAGCAGAACTTGTAAAAGAAGTGTTTCCCAAAAGCATACTTTGGTCTCTGTAAGGTGCAACACCCAACTCCTTTCACATCAATTAATGCATGCCATACCTATTTTATTTTCAGGTATGTCAGAACACAGCAATGAATCCACAACACTTGATGAGTCTCACCCAGCTGCAGAAGAGGTCCAGTCTGACTCTGAGGTGATTGGGTGAAAGTTATATCAGTGTAAAATCAACCCAGCAACAGTTTCAGACTGCCCAGAATTTGGATATGCATAGCACAGTGGAGTTAGTATGGGGATATGAGCTCCTGCACATTATCCTGAATGGGTGGCTTTGGTTTTGAGACACTACTACGAGCAATCTAATTAATTCATATCAAAGGATTATTTCAACCAATAGTCTTTTGCTGCGTTGCAGTATTTGTTTTGTAGACTGAATAGATATAGGTGGGGTAGAGTCTGAAACAAGTAGGTGCAGCAGGAAGAAAGGGTTGGTACTTAAAAGG